GGACGCCGTCGCCAAACCGTTTGCAAACGTGACACATGTTCGCGTAGAAGAACAACTCGGTGTAGTCGTTATTAATTTGATGACTTGCTTCTGATTCCATGATTTCTGCCTATACACAGTCTCGTTATATCAAAGTCTCCTTATTCAGTGTAAAGGACAAATATAGTGTTTGGAATGTTGTGATTTCACCCGTGATTTATCTTGCACCCGTAAGATATGAGCGTTAAGCAAAATATGACAAAATTGTTAGAATAATTATCATTCCATGCGATGAATAGGAAGGATACTGTTTTTGCTGGTTTATCAAATAGAGGATTCGTGTGCACTCCGCGTATATCCACGACCGCTTGCTTCGTGATGCGATTATAGTACTCAAACACCATGCAAGCTTTTTTAGGCCGCTATTAACTTAGTTCTGGTATCTGCGTGAGACAGACTCTGAAGCCTGCAACAAATAAACGTAGTCGTTAGATAAAATCTCGAGTGTCTTTCGAATCGCAAAATCTGTAAATATGCTCTTACCTGTAAATATATATGCTGTAACCTGACCTACGTTCCTAATCTGTGATGAACGAGCTTTTGTCGTATTTTATACAGAATCAATTATTGAATTTTGTTGATCTTACCACATACATATGAAATTATTGATAACGTTAATAATCTCGTTGGAATACACACCCTCCGCGGTACGATACTTATACTCACGTAAAGAACGGCGAGAAACTGTTATCCTGCCACAGGTGCTACAGCCACTTTGACCACTGTTATTGTTTTGATCGTCGACTGTGGCAAGCATCTCTGTAAATCTGTCACGTGTCGCAAACGTGTGATTTCAAAAATATCAGAGATTTCAGAAATATCGCTGAAGAAGCAGGAAACAATTGCCATTCCGTAAATGCTTGATTTTATTACAAAGATATAGATTTCATCGCAAACAATTAACGAAAAGTCTTGTCTTCATTACAAATAGAAGCAACAACCATTGTATTTAATATTTTACATTACCGTAGCCATGTGTCCTGTCATATCTATAATCGCTGTAGCTACAATCCATTATGCTTGATGCATGCAAGACAATCGATTCTACAAGTAGATAATGTGTTATTTTACATATTTTGTTGCGTGTTAAATAAATACGTTGAATTAAATTAAAAGTTAATTTTAATTAAATGAAATTATAAGATAATTTAAAACGTTCAACCGTGTTAAACGACGTAATTTAAAACGGCAAGAATTAAATGTGTAAGACGAACTCCGGTTAAAATATCTAAATAACACACTTGAAATTGCAGTGCAGTCATAATAATATATATTTTACAATTTACATTACCGCATCCACGTGTCCCGTTATATCTATAATCGTATAATCCACTATGCTCGACTGATGTAAAACAATTATCGACTATACAATTATAGAAAATAGTCATTTAGGATTTTTGGATTATAAATATAAGCAGACATTTCGGAATGTCGGCTATCAGTCTTTTGGAGTTTGTTTTGTGAAGACACGTCGCGATTCGCAGATGTAGTACGTATATAATTTTCTCTGCGTTTCTTCCGTTACATTTATTAAACGTTAAGTTCAGTTAATTCGTGTGTGTCATTTCGTGCGCGCTACGTTTCCTTCGTCATCAAATACAAGCCGTTGGTTTGTATCGGTCGCTTAAATTACGCATATCAGTTATGAACAAAGACTCCTGTAGATAATTACATATTGATTTAAATAAGATACGTACTCCATCTCGATAGTTTTATATGGTTTTAAGCTGGCGAATGGATTCTTTCCGCTATACAGATGGTCTACCTCTTTATTCAGGATTGCGTTTATTATGTCTGTCTCCTTTTTAAATGAATATTGCGTGGCAGACGTTAAGACGAACGGACAATTTTGTTTCGCTAACATCTGTATGGACGGCGCCCACGTTTCCTTACTGGATCTTCCTTCAAGTTTATACTTGTGAATATACAGATTAAATCCTACAACCAAGTCCGGTTTTACGAATGACGAGCTGCATGCATAGTTCTCGTATAATACGTCGTGAAACTCAAACGTCAAATATTTTTTCTCTCGTGACATACAGTTATCGTAATTATTTAACAGATTTGATTTACATGGTAATTCCGGCCCTATAATCACTATAACTATCATCATGGTTCCTATTAAACGCGGCAAAATTTCCCAAAATGTCCACAAGATTTCTTTGAACACATTCGTACATAGAACATGAATGACTAGCTTTTTATTACTTTTTGGGACATACTCTAATAATCGCATAACATAAAACAACGTTAAGGAACATGTCAGATATTCTGAGTGTTGAGCTGCCCAGACGTTGTGCGACATCTCCGAGTCAGTCTGAATATTCCCAAAAGTCTCTATAAAGTCTTTCATATTCTGAAATGTACTCGTGCAGGAAATGTGTTGTAAGTAAAAATGCAAGTCCAGAGAACTGTTTCCCTCTCGCATAGAAAATAAATCTGTGCAAAGACATAGTTCCAGGGGAGCGCATATGCCTTTGTGCTCAATGCCGTCTTTGTGATTTTTACAGAAGTTGGCAGCACACTTCTGACAACTCTCCAACGACTTGTTCCGTTCGTGGCAAACTAGGCACTCTCTTGGAAAACAGATCATTTGCATCTCATCCATATTCAGGCGACGTCCTAGCTTGGACGACACTAGCTGCGCGAAGATCAGCTTCTTGCTGGCCCATACCTCTGTAGTTTCACCGCCATAATCCATGCTGTAGTTTCGCAGCACGTTCCGTATGGCTTTGCACAAAGATTTGTGCTTCTTCCAGTGCTGCTTCTGATGTTCCTGACCACAATAGAAGATCATCCTGCAGCCACCGCAC